AAAGGCAAGGCGGGCACGCCCTCTGGGAGCTCTGCCGACGAGGACACCTTCTCCTCCTCCTCAGCGCCCATCGTCTTTAAAGACGTGAGAGCTCAGAGGCCGATCAGGTCCACCTCGCTCCGCAGCCATCACTACAGCCCCACGCCGTGGCCTCTGCGGCCCACGAACTCCGAGGAGACCTGCATCAAGATGGAGGTGAGAGTCAAGGCCTTGGTTCACTCTTCCAGCCCGAGTCCAGCCCTGAACGGCGTCCGGAAGGATTTCCACGACCTCCAGAACGAGACCGCGTGCCAAGAGCAAGCCAATTCCCTGAAGAGCTCGGCTTCTCATAACGGAGACCTGCATCTCCACCTGGATGAACATGTGCCTGTCGTTATTGGACTTATGCCTCAGGACTACATTCAGTATACTGTGCCTTTAGATGAGGGGATGTATCCTTTGGAAGGATCGCGGAGCTATTGTCTGGACAGCTCTTCTCCCATGGAAGTGTCTGCGGTTCCTCCTCCCGTGGGAGGGCGCGCTTTCCCCGAAGATGAGAGTCAGGTAGACCAGGACCTGGTTGTCGCCCCAGAGATCTTCGTGGATCAGTCGGTGAATGGCTTGTTGATTGGCACCACGGGAGTCATGTTGCAGAGCCCGAGAGCGGGTCACGATGATGTCCCTCCACTCTCACCATTGCTACCTCCAATGCAGAATAATCAAATCCAAAGGAACTTCAGTGGACTCACTGGCACAGAAGCCCACGTGGCTGAAAGTATGCGCTGTCATTTGAATTTTGATCCGAACTCTGCTCCTGGGGTTGCAAGAGTGTACGACTCAGTGCAAAGTAGTGGTCCCATGGTCGTGACCAGCCTTACAGAGGAGCTGAAGAAACTTGCAAAACAAGGATGGTACTGGGGACCCATCACACGTTGGGAGGCAGAAGGGAAGCTAGCAAACGTGCCAGATGGTTCTTTTCTTGTTCGGGACAGTTCTGACGACCGTTATCTTTTAAGCTTGAGCTTTCGCTCTCATGGTAAAACACTTCACACTAGAATTGAGCACTCAAACGGTAGGTTTAGCTTTTATGAACAGCCCGATGTGGAAGGACATACGTCCATAGTTGATCTAATTGAGCATTCAATCAGGGACTCTGAAAATGGAGCTTTTTGTTATTCAAGGTCTCGGCTGCCTGGATCTGCAACTTACCCCGTCAGACTGACCAACCCAGTGTCCCGGTTCATGCAGGTGCGCTCGTTGCAGTACCTGTGTCGTTTTGTTATACGTCAGTACACCAGAATAGACTTAATTCAGAAACTGCCTTTGCCAAACAAAATGAAGGATTATTTACAGGAGAAGCACTACTGAAAGATGAGAACCCTGCATCTTGCACTTTGGGAATAAGAACAAAAGATTGAAACACAGTTTACAGACTTTCATTGCCATCAAAATATTTTGCTGCCATTACTATTTCAGTTTTATGTGTAAAAGAGTCATCAGTTTGTTTAGGGGTCGGGAAATGTCAGCAAGGTGTCTTGGGTTTATTTTGGTTCTTTAAAAAGGGAAGTCTTGAGGTTTTAGAGGTGTGAATTATCTTTCATCAATGTGCAGAATAATCACAATGTGAATTATCAAATTCTCCTAATGCCCCTCCCCCCAGTCCTTTGCTGCTATCCACTGTGATTTTTATGCATTAAAAGCACATTTCATGTGTATTCAACCCTAAGTAAAGCTGAATGAAACTTACAGAATGGAAATTGCTATGTCTTTTTAAATGGCCCATTTTCAAAAGATAGTGTTGAATAAACATACCTGGTGTGATAAAACACAGAATTTACTATACACTGAAGATGAGTTTTTAATCTCTTTAAAAAGATTTATTTAGAATCGTGAATTTGACATAATCTTGGGTAATGGAACGGAGATCTGCAACTTATCTTTTAACAACACTTTTTTCTAAATTATTTCTAAGGTTGTGCTAATTCTTTTGGTTGTGAAAAGTTGAATTTTTCTGTTGCCTTCATTTTCATCTTATAGTTTGTCTATTTTAATAAATGGCCTTACAGTAAAAAATTGTAAAGAAATGTATACCACCGATTTAGAAATTGTTGCCTTTTCTGTAATTGAACTCGGGTACAAATTGGCGCATAACATGAAAACCTATGGAACTAGAATTATTATTAAAGAAATATTAGATGATCATAGCTTCCTGTGATAGCATTTTTTTGTGTGTTACCTATACTTTTGGTAAAATGTTTTATCTGTGATTTCTTTAGCTTAGTCAGCATTTTCTTGGGTGAACTTGATTGTCAACTAATTTTCATAAATGAACTGGATTCTCTTGCAACATTAATGTTTATAAAAAGTTTTAAATTGATTTTAATAGAAAGAAAACATTGTTTTAAAGTTGGACTTATATTTTTCTTCTATGTAGTTACTATAAAAGTGTGCTGGATTTGACCAATCCTTACCCCCACTATAAAGAGAACCCTTGATGACTTTAGTTTAAAAATCGTGGAAATTGTGGAGCAATTTTTCTCACAATGTGAGAAAAATTTTAAACCATATTAGATAATGATGTGGAAGTCATATTGTCTTTCATGTATACTGCCATTTAAAGATAGGTTTTTAAAATTTAGCTAAGTTTTAAGTAATTTGCCATTGCTAATTTATCTCCTTGAGTCGGTTGTTGGGGAGGGATGTTATATTCAATAATTTTTAGTTATTTTGAAATGCAGAGTGTTTATTCATTTCACAGTTCTGCAATGGATGTAGTATTTTGGGATTACCCTGTCCAGAAAATTTTCAGCTACACACCTTTAAAAGAAAAGGTTTCTATTTCAGATGAAACTTGTAATTTGGGATGGTTCTTCCTTTGTCACTTAAAGGAAGAGATAGGAAAAGTCTCTTACCCAATTTAAACATGAGGGTAAAGGTTTAGGTCAAACTTACTGGCTTTGTCATTCAAACATATCTGAATCCTCACTTTTTTCTCTTTGTTTTTTAGGG